CCCCACGGCTGAAAGGGCGAGCATGTTTGGTGGGACGGTGATGATACAGTGTTACTTCAACTTTTGAAAAAAATTACTTTCAAACTTTTCCCCTGGAAGTTATAAAGGGATCATAGTATATTTCGACAAAAAAGTAAAGTTAGGTTTGTGTTATCATTGTTTTTATTATATATTTTGAATTTTTTACGCAATTTTGTTGTTTTTAGTTAAATCATTTATTCACCGAATAACTGGTTCACATTTTCTGAAAAGTCTTCAAGTGAATTTTCTACATACAAAATTGTTTCTGGTGATGAAAATGACAAAAAAAACTGAGATTTTAGGGTCATAGTACCATCCAGAAGGGGCTGATTTTCCGTCTTCATCTTCTAATGGGGGTTCTTATAATTTTGTTATTTTTTTCTGGAGAGGTTTAAATATAATTCGTTAGTCTATTCGGCTTGGTTTCTTTTGTTTCCTACCGGAGTCTTTGATTTGACAGCCTGATCATTTATGTTTTTTAAATGCACACAGTTGAATAATTTTATCTGACTTGACATTATTTGGGAATAGATTTTTGTTTGTTTGTTTGTTTGTAATTAAGCACAAAGCTACACAATGGGCTATCTGTGCTCTGCCCATCACGGATATCGAAACCCGGATTCTAGCGTTGTAAGTCCACAGACATACCGCTGTGCCACTGGGGGGGGCTTGGGAATAGATTCAATAGAAATCAGCATAGAGAAAATTCCAGTAAGTACTTTTTTTAATTAACGTTTATTTTATTTTTACATGATTTTAAGTGATGGAATTTTCTGTTTTAATATCGAAAATTCTTGGTCGTAAGCCTTAAGCTATCAAAGCGTCTCAGCAGCGTTGTAAAATTCTATTATCCCTAATGCAAAATTTTGCAGCCATTTCAAATGGGCTGAAGAAAGTATGTAAAAATCAATAAAGCCTGTGGATATTTCTCCATCATCATTAGGTGAAGCTTTTTTTCAAATTTCATTTACGATTGTCTTTATAATATAAAGAGAATATAAAATGGACCTACACTGGTAGTTTTTGTGTGAAACAGAAACAAGGAATATTAATAAGTAGTATGACATATAGATTACAAATTAGTGAAGCATTAATATAGATCTAATAAAGCAAAACATTTAACTCGACTGTTAGGCTTAAAATGCTTCAAAAAATTAATTTATTAAAGTGTTGTTAACAGAAAAACGTGCATTCCTAGTATTTGCCTGAATATTAACGTTGCTAAATAAATGGTTAGCATAAAGTGGATTGAGGGGAAAATGAGAGTCTTACTTTATTCTGTGATGAGATTTTAAAACTCCTACAGTAACCTCTAAGTAATGTTATTAGAAGTAGAAGATGATAATGTAATGATTAATGCTGAAAAGAATAATTAAATCCAACGTTTAACTAAAGATTTTAGACAATGTATTATGAAGACCTCTCATGACTTTTTTTATTGACAGAACTTTTGGCTACTGTATTTTTTATTTCATTAGAAAGGTTTGTTTTTTAATTCAGAAACAAATATTTTTTTAGAAAACATTAGTGGTAGAGTCCTAATACTTGAATATGATAAAAAATCTTAGCTGCATGTTATACATCTACAGCTATTACAATATATATATATATATATAACACACATATATGTTCCTATAAACTATATTCTTCATGTTGACATTTAGATGTTGGTTAGAGGGCGCATGACGTTAACATCAAGTAAGTTTGTGAAAGTAGACCTAGAATATTCTAAATTGACGTCACGATAATCCAGAGCATTTCTAGAATGTCTAGAACAAGGATTAGATATAGAACTTGTAAGTCATTCAGTAAGCTTGCAGATTGACTCAATGAATCAAAGATAGAGTTAAGAAGACAGAGTTGTTGTCAACGGATAAAGTGAATCAGGCAATGTGTTTTTCTGAAGTATTTTGATCTGTCTTAGATATAACATATTTTGAGTTACTTTGTAAAAGTAAGTTGATTTTTTTTTACGTTAGTGTAGTGCAGTTAGTGTCATTCGTAAACGTGACTTAAAACTAAAAGTTACCACAGTGTTCAAGCGTGTAAAAAGGTAAAGTGAGAAATAGTGATTTATTATTGCATAAGTGGACTGGCTGGACGTTGAATTACTTTCACCAGATATTTTAAAATAATTCGCCAACGAAAGAACAACGTTGCAATAAGATAGATATGAATTTAACTTCTTACCCCTACTGTGATAAATTATAAATAATCAAGGTCCACGTACGGATCTGGTTATTTTTAATTTATTATGAGCTGAAGCTGACAGAGCACTTGTGGGAATATATATATGTACACACACATAGCACTTTTCTCACAACCATTGCTATGTGCTGTCTTTAACTTTAAGAATAGTTCTGTATAAGATACTGTTACAATATAAATTCGAGAGCAGAGCGTTAATTAGTTTGACTATTTTAAGCCTTCAGTATTTTTGCCTAAGGTTTAACTGCCAGCATGTGCTCCATCCAATTGCGTTTAACCAAACATTAACATTTTTGTTTTTTTATATATACAGACACCCCTTACAAGAGAAATGGCACGCCTCGATCTCGCGACTGAGAGAACGTACAGCTTTCAGAGTCAGTTGACTACATGCTCTCTCGTATTAGTTGCATCTAATCTATTAGAGGATTGTTTACAGCGTACATTACGCGATCAGTAGTCAGAGGAAATAATATCTGTACAATCGGAAAATTAGAGTAGACTTAGCTAATATAATAACAGCTAGTTACCACAAGTTTGGGAAAACAGAATTAGGTAAGACGATGTAGCTTTTATTTATATTATATGTTTGGCTGTTAAACTTTTTGCAATAAAGAAATAATTATTATAATTTAAAAACTGTCTATACAATTTCAATGTTGCATGTGCAGTATAATAGTGATGATAGGAATACTATATTAAAAATATAATATATGAGGATCTGAGCCCAGCTAACAAAGTGCATGGATTTATCACATATACGAAAAATCACGTCAGTGTGGAACTTGGATAGAAAGAGAAAGTAAGAAATATATATACGAGTAATAAGGGCAGGAACTGTGAATACATTCTGATGAAGTTTTGATACTGTAGTGAAGAAGAAATAATTAAAGCAGACATTATTTATATATATATATATATATTAATGCGTTAACATTTATGATGAGTTTTGTTAATATTAGCTACTTTTAAATTAATATTAAACGATAAAATAAACTAACTTTAATATGGCATGGTACTTTCAGACAAAAACGTTTATTACGTATACTACATACATCATGTTCTTTTCACTTTCATATTGCACGAACACTTGAAATTGAACCTTACTAGAAACGTCTGATAAAACAATTACATAAACATGTTAGAGAGGTCATCTCCATTGCTAGTTGGTGTACGAACACTTGAACTTGAACCTTATTAGAAACGTCTGATGAAACAATTACATAAACATGTTACAGAGGCCATCTCCATTGCTAGTTGGTGTACGAACACTTGAAATTGAACCTTATTAGAAACGTCTGATAAAACAATTACATAAACATGTTAAAGAGGCCATCTCCATTGCTAGTTGGTGTACGAACACTTGAAATTGAACCTTACTAGAAACGTCTGATAAAACAATTACATAAACATGTTAGAGAGGTCATCTTCGTTACTAGATGGTGTACGAACTCTTCTTGTGGCTGTATAACTTACATATCAATGAATGCAGTCGATAAACTGTATTTGATGTGATACAGTATATTTTTAATAAATAAACAAGATTTAAAAATATTGTGTCATTTGTGTCACATCTGTTGAACACCGTTGTGCATGAAATATGACACAAGATGATTATTATTATTACACTATTTCTTGGATTAATTTATGTTCAATGGACTTATAAGAAAATATCTAAACAGGTTTGATTGAATGAAAAGAGCGACATTTAAAACCTTGATAACCTTATTTTGATTATTTTTTATTGACATTGGTGGTAAAATCGCTCAGCGCGAACATGACAAACATCAACTGAGTTTCGTCTAGCAAGGACTCTGTTTACTCTCCTATTGTTAGAAATACCGTCTGTTTTTCTGATATTGTTACAAATACTGTCTACTCCTATCCTGTTGTTACAAATACCGTCTACTTCTTTCCTATTATAACAAATACTGTCTACTCCTGCCCTGTTGTTACAAATACCGTTTACTTCTCTCCTATTATAACAAATACTGTCTACTCCTATCCTGTTGTTACAAATACCGTCTACTTCTCTCCTATTATAACAAATACTGTCTACTCCTATCCTGTTGTTACAAATACCGTCTACTTCTCTCCTATTATAACAAATACCGTCTACTCCTATCCTGTTGTTACAAATACCGTCTACTTCTCTCCTATTATAACAAATACTGTCTACTCCTATCCTGTTGTTACAAATACCGTCTACTTCTTTCCTATTATAACAAATACTGTCTACTCCTGCCCTGTTGTTACAAATACCGTCTACTTCTCTCCTATTATAACAAATACTGTCTACTCCTGCCCTGTTGTTACAAATACCGTCTACTTCTCTCCTATTATAACAAATACTGTCTACTCCTGCCCTGTTGTTACAAATACCGTCTACTTCTCTCCTATTATAACAAATACCGTCTACTTCTTACTATCGCTCTGTCTACAAGTTTTTACATCTTGTTGATATGGGTATTTTTATTATTATTCTTTGGGCATTAACAATATGAGCCTTTTTTGCGATTGAGTTTTATCTCTTAAATAGTTAAAGTAAAAACACAATTCGTACAAAGAAAATATCAATCACTTTTAACAGGATTTTAGGCAATTTTTGTGTACTTTCTGTCATTTTTGAAAATAAAACGTTTATATCCTTATTGAACCTTTTCTCAAGCCACCCCCGCCCACCAGTGGCTCAGCGGTAATTCTGATGGCTTATAGTACTAAAAATCAGGTTTCGATACACGTGGTTGGCTCAGCACGTATAGCCCATTGTGTAGCTTTGTGCTTGACGATATATAAACAAATCCTTGAGGCATTGCAAAGATCGTTTAAGTATGACATCCACACTACAAGTTAAATTCAATAAACAACTAGACTAATATAATCACAATGCTTATTGACTGTCCCCAGGTGGTTCAGCGGTAAAAATACGGACTTGCATTCCCTGCGGTGTGAAGATGGTGCATTGTGTAGCTTTGCACAAAGGAAACAAAGTAGCAGCTTATTGTTAAACAATAATATGTGCATAAGTTATTAAAGATCACTTTAATCAATAAACATTCTTTATTTGTTATGACTTGTCAGAAGCGAGTACGTTAGTTCTCCCACAAATAATTTATTGAACGTACGGTTAGTATTCTGTTCTGTTTTAAAAGTTTACAAATCTTAAGAACGCCATGTCAGTTTTTTCTTTCTTTCAGTAAACCTTTAAATTACACTTTGATGTGTCTATTTTGAAGATAAATTATGTTTCCAAAAACACCTAAAACTTAATTGTGGCCGATGGGACAGCGTTAAGTCTACGGACTTACAACGCTAAAATCAAGGGTTCGATTTCCCGCGGTGGACACAGCAAATGGCCCAATGTGGCTTTGCTTTAAAAACAGACAAACAAACACTCATTAGAAAAATCTCGTGATAAGTGATCATTACTACCTGAATGAACACAGTAAATATTTAAACGGTTTTGTGATAAGTGATCATTACTACCTGAATGAACACTGTAAATATTTAAACGGTTTTTCGAGCGGGTTTTTTTTCAATCATTGGAACATCCTTGCTCGGCGACTTCAATAAAATAGGCATTCCTCCAGTCATTCGTATATTCAAAAAATAGACCAAATCCCTTAACGTGCATTTTTCCTTTTATTATTTACACCAGAGACTGGCCAAACAGTAGTTAAGAAGAGGTGCTTGTTTTATTTTTAGCCAGAGGGTAACTTCTTTGAACTAATAATAGCAAGCGGAAAATATTGTATCATTTTAACGAGTTAAAATATATTAAAAAAACAATATTGAAGTAATAAAAAAATAACCGCCATAACATCAGTCCTTCTGCAATATTCTAGAAGCTTCAACAATTAAAAGTACATAAAACTACTGTAATACTGGGCAACTTGGACGGTTTTTATTACGTCCTCTACTGTTTAAATAAATTAGTGACTTTTTGTTTGTCATAATATTTTGCTTAATCGATATTGAGATGAAAGGCTTTATGGGGTTCATTTTATTACCTAATACTTATATTTATTTTGTTTGTTTCATTTTTTAAGTTACGTTTGCAATCTTATCAGAGCCGTTGTTTTATTTTTCAAACAATGAAGTTATGTATCTGTCATTGTTGAGTGTTAGGTTTGAAAAGTAGTCATAAGACATTACATAGATAGTTATGAACATTTAAGAAAAACTTTTACGGAGTGTATTGATATTGTTTTAACGTATTTTATCGTTGTGCTGGTTCTTTTGAATTACTTAATAAAAATATTACCAGATCCAGTCCAGGTAACGATAATAAATTTATTTATTTATTCAATAAATATTTGCTATGGCCACATTCACTTTTATACAAGCTGTAGTCCTAAGTTTGCAAACAACGTTTCAATAGAAACTACGATACTAAGTTTACCCACAACTAAATTACAAATATAATTACTTACATAATTTCTTTGCTAGTAGACGCAATAACTGTGACTACTAACATTGAATAATTTATTTGACACTGAACTGAATCACTCATTGAATACTTAATAACTAATTACTCATGAACTGCTCAACTTCAGAGACTCCTCATTCACTGATTACTAGTATATATTTATATATATAGGTATACTAGACCACCCCTGACCCTTTGGGTCACCCACTATTCAGAGGTTATGAAGAATTCAACCTAATTTCAATGTTGCACCGAAATGAAGGTTTATTTTGAGATAATGTAATTAAATATTTAACTCTATTCGTGTTATTCATAATTCAAGAAAAGATATTTGATTGTTGATCGGGAGTAATAGGAAAGACCATTTAATTTTTCAAAAAAGTGAAGTCAGAGTTTTCAGATATTGTGATGAATTAGTTCATTATGTTGTGGTCTTTCTCTTAAACCTTCTACAAATAAGAAACAGTAACACTTTATTTTTTCTTCGAATTACCTACATAACCAAGGCACATTATTGAGAAATTCTTCAAGATCTTGTTTTTGTCATCTTACGCCTTTTAATGAAGATTGGAACATTGACAGGAAAATAGATTTGAACGAAGAATTTTCGTAAAAGTAGTGTGATATAAAATTACTCATGCTAGAAATTTTCATAAAAGTGACCCGAAAACGGCGCTAACTCGATAACCCGTGGCCCGATTTTAACGAAACTTGTTTTATTCTGGTTTATATTCTCATTTCTATTCTCGATTCATTACAAATATTCGCCATTTTGCGCCATTTTTGCTGTATTTAATTACAGACAAGCAAACAAACAATTTCAGATTTTAGTAGTATATATATATGTCGTACCCTTGTTTCAACATACGTAATGCGCCCTATAGTAAACATCTAAATTCAAACATATAAATATAGCTTACAACAATATGTTGAAGAGTTTTTTGTTGACTGCTGCTATCTGGTTTGGAGACGTGATGAAGAATTCAGCACAGAGCCTGATGTCTAGTCTCTAAATAAAACTGGAGTAGTTTATGAGAAACTATTCAAAATATATTAATATTATTTCCTAAAACAAGTTAAAGCCAACCACGTTAATTAAAATAAGTGCCACTCTACAAAAATAAAA